AATAATAATAGCAAGAGGTTCCAGACTAGATAGACCAATAGGGCAAACCCTAGGGTCTTATATTAAATATCGTACTGGGTAAAGCACTGGTTGAGGGATTGAATACGTCTCTCTGAGCATGTGATACTGTCTGCTCTAGGAGACAGACAAATGCAGTAGATGGGCCATTGTCTGATCTGGTATCTCCTATGAACCCAAACCCTTGAAAACACAGTAGAGGGAACAGTCTTGCCTTGGTCCCTGGTAGGATTTCCCCCTCCCCCACAAGTGCTATCACAGGGTTTATCTACACAGCACTTTGATTGACAGTGCACTAGCTTGCTGCCGTGCAGATCCTGCTACCGCACGCTAAAAGTCCAGTCGCGTGCGTTGGAAAAAAACAGTAGGTAAAGGGCTTTTCTGGATGTGCCGCCCCCCGCAGTCCTTTAGCGCCCCGTGAGGTTCCCAGTGCACCGTGCCGTGGAGATGGCAGCTCCGGCATGTAGCGTGCGCAGCGTCCATCCATTTCACCTTGGCTCCCTTCAAAGACAAGTAGCTTCCCAGGTTTGAAACAAAATGCAGATCCCCGCAGCCCCTTTTACGAGCAAGATAGAGGCAGCTGGCTGCCAATACAGTGAGTTTACAGCGACATGATTCACTCCCCCGGCCTACCAGATCAAGGGAAAATGGGGTCATTAAACCTATTAATGGCCCTACTTCAATTTGGGTCCCATCCCCCCCAGTCACCTGAGCTAAAGCAGACAGGAGAAAGGGAGCCAGTCTCCGTTTTCACTCTGGCCTCCGTAAATGGATTGGGTGCCTTCAGAGTCCGGGCGTTTATTAGGATATAAAAGCCTTTAGAAGGGAATGGTTTTCCTGCCTCTGAAGGAGTGGCGGGGAGGAGAACAGAAAGGAACGTGTCCTGGATAACATCCCGGCTCTGAATGGAACAGCTGCTAACGTTCCAGCCTGCGACTGAACATCTAACGGCTGCTCCAGGAAAGTAATTCTCCACTCGAGATCTGGAGCCTGGTGTCAAGTGGAGGTGAAGTAAGCACTTCACAGGGAAAAGTACAGGGATTCGACAGGTTTTCCTGTAAATAGTTTGTGAGCCTGCTCGCTGCTCACGCTGGGTATGTCTATACTGCCTAGTAACCCCATGTGCAGATGGCTTGCGTGAGCGAGACGTGATTTTAGGCCTGCATATTACAGACAGCCTCGTCTCAAAATGTGTCCTAGAATCTCAGGGTTGGAAGGGACATCAGGAGGTCATCTAGTCCAACCCCCTGCTCAAAGCAGGACCAATCCCCAACTAAATCATCCCAGCCAGGGCTTTGTCAAGCCTGATCTTAAAAACCTCTAAGGAAGGAGATTCCATCACCTCCCTAGGTAACCCATTCCAGTGCTTCACCA